TTTTTTTTTTTTTTTTTTTTTTTGGGGGGGGGGGCAACAATGCTGTCTTCATCCAAATAAATGGAACGTACAGTCATTTTCGCTGTATCTAGACTGAAAGTTACCCCAAATACAACCTCAATAACCATACTTTCCATTCGGGGAAACACGATAGAACTGGAGGGCGAGGGGGGGAACACGATAGAACTGCAAGAAGAAACAGGAGGACGACAAGTAAGGTAAAAGAAAGGGAAGGAGGGAGGGGGGGAGAGAACAAAAGCCAAAGACCACGTCATAAAAGACGTAAAAGGCTAAAAAACAATAAAACCACAATTTTGTATTCGTGCTAGAATTCCCTACAAGTTACAAAACTTGACCCCTCTTCCCCCCCACCCACTCCGCAAAAAAAAAAAAAAAAAAAAAAACCTGAAACTTTGTGTGAAAAAAAAGTTGAAAACTTGAAAAGACAATTATTTCTCATCTGCGCTATATATAGAACTAACAGAGAGAGTTCTGCAGCTAGATTTTGCCAAACTCATCAACAGCAGGCAACCTCATTTATGGCTGCCGTAATTAACTATCATCCTCAATCACCCTCGATTATGATCGCTGTCATTATTGCTGTTCAGGTCATCGAAGCCATTATCCTCACCACTGCTCCCATCACAATGATGATGGCTGGGATGGCCATCGGCCACTCCACCTCCACTCCCAGGAGCAGCGAACACCACTCTCCGCAGGACAGCAAAGTAGATGGGTCCCCAATTGTCCGCAATGTCTGGAAGGACGATCCATCCATACTTCGTCTTCTCTCCGATCGGCCAGTGCTGCTTCTCTTCCACCTCCACCTTGATCTTACCTTTCCGCAAGTACTTCTCGATGACATCATCATTTTCCTTGGGGCTTATAGAGCACGTGGAGTAGACCACACGACCGCCATCTTCTTTCACACTACGGACTGCCGCGCAAAGAAGCGCGTACTGCCGGACTGCGCAGTTCCGCGTCCTCTTGGGGGTCCATTGAAGAAACTCCATCTCATCTTGCAACAGATGCCTTTCTGACGAGCAAGGGGCATCCAAAAGCACCTTGTCGTACTGATCAACGTGATTCCACATCGTTCCATCCTGGCCGGTTATCTGTATATACTGCCGGAGCTCTGGAGGAAGATAGTCGATAATCACCTGGCGCAGCCGTCGGCGTCGAGATTGGGAAATCTCGTTAGCCGTCAGATGGCCACCCGATTGGAGGGAGAGTTTCTGCAAGATGGCGACCGTCTTGCCGCCCGGTGCCGCACACAGGTCCAGCACGTGGTCGTTCGCTTCGACCGCCAGCGCCTGTGCGGCCATTACAGACGCCGCATCCAGAAGATAATACGTCGCACAGTTCCGTGAATCCTTCGATGGGTGAGGAAACCGTTCCAATGACGAATAGCAGATCAGATCGACGAAGGAGATTCTCTCTGGAGAGGTTACCATAGCCAGATGCTCCGCCGCACCCTCTGACGTCGCGTAGCCGTTGATCAAACAGCAATGACGCTGAGGGGATTTCATGGCCGCAAGAAGAGATGGCCATCGCTCCGGCCCATACACTTCCTCATAAAAATCGTTAAAAATTTGCGCCTTCCTCTCCTTCGCCTCCATCTCCTTCTTCAGCTGCTTCTCCTTTCGCTTCGACATCCCTTTCTCTCTTCCTCCATTCCCTTTTAACTTCGTTCTTTGACCATCCGTTCCCACCTTCCCCCCTCGCCTCCCTCTAGCCGATCTCTCCTCCTCCTCCTCCTCCTCCTCCTCCTCCTCCTCCTCCTCCTCCTTTTCCTCCTCCTCGACAGTTCTTTCACCCTGTGCAGATCGTCTGTCTACCTCTTCTTCCTCCTCCTCCTCCCTCTCCCTCTCCCCCACATGACCGTCATTTGCACCACTGGCGGAAGCGACCTCGCCGCCGTTTTTCGCCGCCATCGCCGCCCCCATCCCATCACGAGGCAAGGAGGAGGAGGAGGAGGCCGCCGCTTCTCCAGATTGCTCTTCCCGCGTTTTCCCCTTCGTCATAGTCCTTACGTTTGCCTTCCCATTGCGGCTCTCGATCTGTTCCATTTCCTTTTCCGTTGCCCTCTTTTTCTTCGTTAGTTCAATTATTACTATGTTCTCATTCGTGCTCTCTTCATCCCCATCAGCGGAGATTGAAGAGGAAGAAATGGGCGGCAAGCTGATCTCGTTATGTCCAGCAGCACCACATGCGGTCAGTGTCGTCAACCTAGAATCACCCATCGCCCTGGAGGAGGTATCAACCGCCATCGCTACGGACGACGAAGATCGACACGTGGCAGCATGACCTAATTGCGACGAAAAAAGCCCGCCAAAACTTGTCGAGGACCCGCCATGTACACACCGGCGGGAAGAACTCTCATCTCCCGCCAAATCAGACCTGCGCGCCAAGCGATCATTCAAGCACAGCCGCGCAAATGCATCTCCAACCGCAGAGGAAGAAGAGGCGGGAAGATTTGGAGTGGAGGAGGAGGAGGAGATCCGCCCAGATCTCTTCCTACCCATCTCTGGCCACACGTGCGCTGCGCGATGCCCCACTTGTTCGAGCCGGATGGAAAGCGATCCGCGGAGTCCGACCCCTACTTTGGAAATCATAGATTTATGGATTGGATTGGATTTGTCTCTGTCAGTCGTCAGAATTTGACTGGGTAGGGCTGGGTTGATGAGTAACCGGAATGGATCCCTTCTAGAATACAAAAAGGGGGCTCTATCTTATCAGAAAAAAATCAATTAAAAAAATCAACAGGAGCGTTGTCACACAAGGTGGACATAGAGTAGGTAGTGGAAAAGACGTCAGAATTTGACTGGGTAGGGCTGGGTACTTTAATTACTCTACCGTCAGAATTGAGTGGGTAGGGATGGGTGCTTTAATTACAGTCTACCGCTGCCCATACCAGCAATTCTGATTCCTTTTGGTCACATGTCCTTCTTTCATGCTGTTTCTGTTATGCTTTGCCGTTGATACAGTAAGTAACCAGACTGGATCCCTCCTAGAATAAAAAAGGGGGCTCTATCTTGTCAGAAAAAAATCAATTAAAAAAAAAAAAACAATTGGAGCGTTGTAACCAGACAGCACGTCAGAATTTCAAAAAAAAGAACAATTGGATGGTAGGGCTGGGTTGATGAGTAACCAGACTGGATCCCTCCTAGAACAAAAAAGGGGCTCTATCTTGTCAGAGAAAAAACAATTAAAAAAATCAACAGGAGCGTTGTCACACAAGGTGGACATAGAGTAGGAGTAGATAGTGGAAAGGACGTGCTGTCTATACCAATGAAGGATGATTCGAGAAGGTTTGCGGCATCCGAAAGCGAAAAGGGGTGGACGAGCCACAGTGAGATCAACTGGTATGCCCCCCCCCCATGGAAGAATGCCCCCCCCATGGAATAATGTTCATTCCCCCATCTTTGGCTCGAAAGGACATGAGTTTAAGACCTGCTGCTGCGGCCACGCAGTCGTCCACAAGTGCTGAGGAGGATGCCGTTCAGGTAATTACAGCCTCCTCATCTGAGCAACCTGAGCAGAAGCTTGAGGGGAGTCTGGGGGCCAAGGGATCGTTGAGGGGGGGAGGGAGATGGCGAAGCAAATGCAACGGAGGACGTGAAAGGAAGAGGAAGAGGAAGAGGAATGGGAGTGCTTGACAGGCAGTCCAGTGAGTGATGGGAAAGGAGGAGGAGGTGGAGGAGTGTGTGGCAATAGCTGTGTGAGAGAGACTGGAGAGGAGTCTCGGATCAAGTGTGGGTGGGGAGATTCAGCTGGCCAGAAGTCTGGCAGGAAGCTGCTCTAGCCGCATTAAAATGACAGGAAGAGATGGCAGAACAGAAGGAAATGGAGGCAAGAAGGCTGGAAGAGAGGAGGCAAGGAGGCAAGGAGGCAAGAAGAAGAAGAGATGGCAGAACAGGAGGCAAGGAGGCAAGAAGGCTAGAAGACTTCAGGAAGAGGAAGGGTAAGAGGAGATCAGGAAAAAACAAGAGGAAGAAGAGGAGGAGGCTCACTGTGCACGTGAGAGAGCAGAGATGGAAGAAAGGGCGGCTAATGCTCACGAAAATCCAACAAATGGGCGTTTGGTGTATTATGGGATATCATACCTACTATACCGATGAGCAGGAGGCTCGCATTATATGAGCGAAGCTCACTGACAGGCAGGGTTGTAATCGTTTTTCCTTTAAATTTTTAAATTTCCGGTTTTGTGCGGTTTTGTGTAAGTCTAGTGCTGTTCGATTGCTTTTATGACCGTCTGCTGTCATGATCATGGAGTGACCTTATGGAACTTACAGTATTATGACGTGACTTGCAGCAGCTGATCTAGAGATTGACAGACATTATGGAGACTTAAAATTCCTAGGGGAGTCATCGGGACTGTGTTGTCCGACTACCGGTAGAGTCGTACTCGCGGTGTAGTGCATGCTTCCTCCTTCTTTGCCATCATGCTCTTCGGTACTTCGATTGTTTGCCTCTCTCTCTCTCTCTCTCTCTCTCTCTCTCTCTCTCTCTCTCTCTCTCTCTGTGTGAAGAAGAAGGAGAATAAGAAGACGGAGGACCAGAAGAGGAACAGTGGCTATGGAGGACTGGAGAAGATGAGGAGACGAAGAAGGAGACGAAGAAGGAGACGAAGAAGGATTCTCCTCTCTCACATTCTCCTGATGATGATGCCATGAATTCTGACCAGCGAAGGTGAAGGACTCCTGATGCAGGTTACTTGCAGGCTGCTGGAGGCAGGTCCCATGACCGGTATGAAGTCCCAGGTATGGCGCCAAGGTGAATCTACCTCCCCCCCGCCAACCTCTCCACTTCAGCCTACTCCCCTACTCCTCTAGTGCTGCTACTCTATCGCAGTTCTCCCCAAACTGGCATAATTGCTCCAGCAGTGTGACGCACAAGTGAGGCTCCAGCCACAATGTCCCCCAAATGGACTGGCCCAGATACATACTGCTGGGCCTGGCTGAGCAGCCCTCGGTCTGCCATCAGGAACGTCGGATCTGATGTCCCATTCGATGGTCCTGATCGTAGGCCCAAGTTCTGGTCCTACTATCCTGGCCAAAACGGCCTGCCTGGGTCCCTACTGGACGTCCAGGCAACCCTGCTGATGCAGCAGGGTCCTGAGGACTTGGCCAGGCGCAAACCCTGGTCCAGTACCAGATATGGACAAATCTGAACCTGGCCTACGATGGCCGAAACTGAAATCCACTGGTCCAAACAGGCATCCGCCTGTTCAGACAAAAAGAAAAGTCCAAAACGACAAATCTGACTGGAGTCTTAGGGTCGAACTACGAAGAGAGGACATAGCAGTAAGGGCCTCACCACAGTCGAAAGGCCAAAAAAATTGACGGCTGTCAGAACAAATTTGACAGCCTCCAATAGACAGTTTGCCCCCCTTTCGCCACACAGCACTGTAGAGTGCACGCACTTTTGAAAGCAAGATGGAAAAAGACGAACGCTCCTGAGGGTACGACAAGCATCAGTCCATCCCGACCTTACCCCCACTCACCAAATTTCGAAGCGAAGTCGACGGCGCAGCCGAGGAGTGTCGAAAGCATCCGAGTAGCAGGCTGGGGATTCAACAACTTTCGACAGGAGGCGTCGAGAAGCATTCTCTGACAACTTGCAAATTTTATTCCCGTCTCCGGCCGACTTCGACAGCCTGTGTGGCGAAAAAGGAACTGTCCAAAATCGCATTTTCGACAGTGGTGCGGCGAGGCCCTATAAAATTTGCAAGTCAGAGAATGCTTCTCGACACCTCCTGTCGAAAGTTGTTGAATCCCCAGCCTGCCACTCCGATGCTTTCGACACTCCTCGGTTGCGCCGTCGACTTCGCTTTGAAATTTGGTGAGTAGGGGTAAGGTCGCGATGGACTGATGCTTGTCGTACCCTCAGGCGCGTTCGTCTTTTTCCATCTTGCTTTCACAAGTGTGTGCACTCTTCAGTGCTGTGTGGCGAAGGGGGGGCAGACTGTCGAATGGAGGCTGTCGAATTTGTTCTGACAGCCGTCGAATTTTTTGGTCTTTCGACTGGTGTGGTGAGGCCCTAAGGGCCTCGCAACACAGACTGTCGAAATGTGCAAAACGAGAATGAACTTGCCGCTAGAACATGGCCAGATGCGCCTGGCACATTTTTGTCGTTTTCACGTTTCGAAAGCCTGTGTGGCGAGGCCCTGTGGGCCTCGCCACACCAATGTCGAAAACGACATTTTCGACATTTTCTCCTCGCCACACAACATGTCGAAATATGAGACGAGCAACAAAATCAAGAGTTGTCAGGGAAAGGGTTTCGACACCTCCTGTTGAGAAGGGCTCGTTTCCCAGCCTGCAACTTGCACATTTTCAACAGTCCTCGGATGGGATGTCGAATTCTTGCCCGAGTGTCGAAAAAGATAACGCACCAACCCTTGTCCTATCTTCACCCCAGTTTGTCTTTTTTGTGCACAGGACTTGTAAGTTCTTCACTACGACATGCTGTGTGGCGAAGAGGGGTTTTCTGTCGAAAGAGGGAATGTCGAGAATTTCCTGACATATGTCGAATCTCCTGATGTTTCGACATTGGTGTGGCAAGGCCCTAAGAATATGGTGGATGGTGGATGGTGGCGAAAGGTGGACATGGAACAACTATCTTTGGGCCAGGGGGCCGGGCAAGAAGGAAGTTCTGACTACCGGGAGAGGACAAATAGCCTACAGAAGTGACAGGGCACAACGGAGAGAAGCTCCACTTCATGTTCACCAGGAGGTATAAAATTTATGCGCGTTAGCGGTACAATCGCCTTATTTATGTGATGCCTCTGACAACTTTCGTTAGATTAGCCTTAGTAGTTTATTTCGTAATTTTGATTGTGTTGAGGTCGTCGTCCTTGTCAGCCAAAATGGTTCTACCCAATAACCCCTTTGTGAGTAGGATGGATCACATCAACCCGCTCACGGACGAAGGGAAACGTCGTATTAGAGATTTGCTTTCCAAATATTTCCAAGAAGGGACGCTTCCTAGTAGGATTGCACCGGGAGTGGTTGAATCTGGCAAGAACTTCGTTCGAGTGACAGTTGATGAGAAGATTTACAGCATCCAAACTTAGCCGACCACGCAGTCTCAAAATTTTCAATGATGAAGCCTCCAACCTTTCGGTGGAGGTAAAAAACAGAACAGTCAGGATGTATGAGAACACTTGGACAGCAGTTGGAGCTCCGGATGCCTTTCCGATCAGGGAAACCTTCTGCAACGAAGGGCGCAATCTAGCCACCTACGTGGCTTCTGCTAAGTAGATAACTGATTGGATGCTAAGAAAAGGGGGGGGGTGAGGTAGAACTGGATGGTCAAACATATGTGTTGACCTTCAAACCATGATGAACATCCATCAACTTCAAGAATGGAAGGATGCTATACGACAAAAATATTTTTGGATCCATTGTATGGAGGTTCCAGTTGCTATACTGGGCCTCCTAAAAGGAGTGGTGGAAGACGTTTTTGGTCCAGTAATATAGGACTACCCAGCGTACAAAAAACCTCTCGAACCAGACCCATGCAACGTTCGTTTTGACCTAACCCCGGCCGCT